CTTCGAACGTGAACTTTCTCAACTGTATGAGCGTTTTTTTCTAAAGCTCAGAAGCGGAGCTATAAAACCTTTTCAACATGTAATAAAAAAAAGAGTGAAAAAACTGTGGGAAAGAATCCAGGACAGGCAACGTGCAAAGGAATATATCGATGACATTTGGAAAGTGGCATTGGGGCGCGGAATTTCACCGAAATGCGCTCTTATTTTATTCGCCAAAGGGAACCATTAGTATCAACTGGAACCTTTATGGAGGGCCTAAATGCAGCACGGAAAGTTTCTGGAGTCAAGTAAAAGGGTAAAGAAACAACGAAGACCAGATCTAGTGTGGCAAGCAAGAGAACCAAGGAAAAGGACGATCGAGCTTGATTGGCGTGTAATAAAGGGTTAGTCGTGCAAATACGGCAGAGTTGCAATTCGCTTGACGCTACGGCGGGTTACAGTATCAGTGGAGTAGTTAGTGTGTTTAGGTTGGATCCTTGTGTGGAGGTCAAGGAAATCTCAAAAATGCCATAATCTCTAGCTTCCCCATCCACTGGCTCCCCCAAGAGAGCACAGATCAGTGCTCTGGAATAAACACCCTGGCGTCCGTTGTGGACTACTACACAACCATCAGACATCGATGACATCCCAGCAGAGCGCCAAGCTCCCCTCGCCTACCTTCACACTCATCAAATATGCAGCGTTTGACCACGGGAACCTGATATACAGTGGTGATCCATGCAAAGGAATGGGCGTCTGACGCGGTGCGGATAGGAGTGCGGCCAGGGCGACCTGGTCCCAGCAATGATGTCATCCTGAAACCGCTACAACTGGTGAGAATTCTGCTTCAGCTGCATTCCAAGCCAAACAGTCGTCCTGCGCTTTATTGTTGGGGAACTAGTGTACACTCTAGTTCGCTGCGGACGGTTGGGCGTGTCAGGCAGTATGAGTGTGTCACCCCGTCAAAGCCGTTCTCTGCCTTCTTGTTGAAGCGCGCATGCGACAAAAAGTGGTAGAAAACGAGTAATACGAACGATATGATACAGTCATATCATTTGCTCGCTTTAACAACTGGTGGAGAACGGGTTTGGCACCGCGCCAAACTCCCGCCTGACACGCCCAACCGTCCGCAGCGAACTACACTATATGTACACTTCAAATCCCTGACATAGGGTAGGCGTGGCTGCGTTCTTCAACCAAGCGTGGCGGTGGTTGTGCCTCTGGAGAGATGTTTTCGTATGGTTTTTTTTGTTTTTTTTTTGTTTTTTCCTTTCATTCTGAACACAACTGTGCGTCAGTGTCTCCATCGAGTACCGAACAAGATGACAGTTGTCTCAGGAGTAACCCATTCTCTGCCACGTTTAAATGCCACGCCTACTCCATCTCAGGGATAAGCTGTATACCTAGACGCATTTAGGCGGAGCAGAGTGTTTTCGACCGATGAGTACGTGTTTCGTTGTGGAATATGTTAACGGAGCTAGTGGTGGGGCACCTTGTAGAATAGCGGCGGGCGGAGATAGATCGACTTTTTAAGTACCGAGCTACCCCGCAAGTGGCCGCATTCTTCGTGTAACTTATGAGTGGATGTCATGCTACCGGCAGTGGAGACCCACCTGCCTTGCATACGGCAAGGACCGCCCTCGAACGTAAATGTACAGTTTGTACTCCAAGCTTATTAGCGCAAAGTTTTGTTGGAAAGTTTGGCTCACTACCGGCTCAAGGGAATGTTTTCCTACAATAAGAACGCCCATGTGAGGCTGGATCAGTGCTAGAAGGCGTACCCTGCTACGAGTTCAATTTGAATTCATCAGCAGAAAATATATTACAAACGACTGGCAATTCGAATGAAATCAACAACAGGATCATTTTACAAATACTCAGAAAGGCAGATTACGCTGATGTGTGGAACAGTAAACAAAACAAAGCGTATAAAAAGGAGCACGTGTATGCAACCCTGACGGTCTTATCAGCCATAATCTCAAAAATACATACAATATCTTGTTTATTATTATACTACAGAAATATTTTCCTGCCTATTGCAGTAAAAGTGATGTGTGGGATGAATGTTTCGGCCCTAACGTCTTTGGGAGGGGTCCACGGCCTGGGAAAGTAAATAAAGAAGGAAAAAGAAAAAAAAAAAATGACAGCCACGCTGCGCCTCTGGTTCCCTAAAGCCAAGAAGGACACCAATCTGCCTTCGGAGGAAAAATTGGCATCAATCAAGACAAAGCCTCCCGGAAATTTCCCTTCTTGGGGATACGCTGATGTGTAATTTGAATTGACGTCTAACCTCATACTATTTTCTAACTACATACCTACATCTCCAGCTGAATTCTCTCAAATTCAGTTTCTTTAGCTGGTTTTAAGAAATTTTTGTTGTCGGAAATCCTCGCCCTTCCCGCCTCCACGCTCCTCGCGGGCCCTTCGATCCCCAACGGTACAAAGGGTCTTTGCTAGCTCAAGGCTCAGAACTGGAGGGCGGTCGGAGTTGGCGCAGAGACCATTAAGGGGTTGACGCGCGTCAGTGAGGAGAGTGGGGGGGCGGTGGGAGAAGGATGGCAGAGGTGCTATAGACTGTACATCGGGTCTATAGCACCTCTGCATCTTTTGTACATGCGGTACATCGGGTGTTGGATGCACGGAGTTTTTCGTGTTCCCTTTCCTGGTAGGCAAGATTACCCGCCTTGAGAAGGACAAAAAAGCCTTTTTGGACCACGAACAGTCTTGAAAGAGGGCAACTCGTGAAATGGAAAACGGCTTTGTAAGTGCTAGCTTTTTTAGCCCGCGAATGTCTATGCCTTAGCGTGAACCGATCTCGCCGTTTATTGGTGGGACGAAACGCGTGCGTCGAAAGAAAGAGTCGAAGTCGTGTGGCCAATTTCGTGGAAGGTGATGCCGAGATCTATTGAGAGAGACGCTGCGTAGACGGCAACTATTTTATTGTTTTGATAGATGTAGTACTATCAATCCAGATATCGTTCCTGTTCGAGAAATACCTTCAAAGGGTTTGACATGGGCGAATTGAAAGATACGTGCGAGTTTTTATGTTTTGAACGACCATAACTTTCCCAGTACGCCATCGTTGGCGAAACCAAAAACATAATTGGAAAGTGGAATAACTCCGACGGTTTCCGCAACGTGTTACACGTCTCTAAAAATCCGCTACTCTAGGGAACTCTAGATTATTTTTGATTCGCGAAATTCTGAGCCACTTAGGAGCTCGATTTCTTGTAACGAAACATATTAATGAGACCCTGATGGAGTGGAATTCATTTTGAAACCTTCTTGTCTTAAACATGGCTTTTCGTTGCATTGATTGATTGAACTGTTTTCTTCACGTCGAATGACCTCTTCTGCGGAGGCGCCATGCATTCGCATGCTACGCTGAGGTGGTTAGAAGGTACAAGCTTCGCATGACGCGTGCTGTGCAAGCCGATGGGATCCAAGAGTTCGAGAGGACCCGCTTCACTATCTCTTGTCTATTTGTTCCAGCACTGGCCCCTGATACGACCCTGATGTCTTCAGTAGCGGCGTCTTAATCTAAGTTATCAGCCCCGTGAAGGAATTCATTTAATGATGATGAACACTGCGTACATAGCATATTTATCTACTAAATCAGCCTCAGCCGCAGTAGGGCCCATAAGTTCACGCTGAGCGACTCAAGTGATTCAGTTATGTTTGCGACTGATAACCCTCTGCCGCTAATGGTTCAGTCACTGCTAGTTCCACCCTACTATGACCAGAACAGCAGTTGCAACGTTCAAGCGCGGTTGGTCGCAATCGCGAGTTCAGGAGTCGCAGAAATGAGTGGCTCGAGCAGCAAAGTATGAACGCAAACCCACGTGGAGCGAAAATTTACCTTTCTCCTCTCATTGCCCAGAGCACTCTGTATAATAATAACAACGACGACAGAAAGCTGGACGTTTTTCAGTTAATATTTATTAAGCCTTCTACCACTATGCATTCAGCCTTGTTCGCTGCGGACGCTGGGGTAGGATGAGACTGGCTTGACGCCAGCCAATTTTCCAGCAATTTGTTGTCGTTCCCCCCCCCTCAAGCAACTGATGGATGAAGGACTGACGCGGCGAAACTCATTCCGTGGACACGCCTCAGCATGGGCAACGAATGAATCTGTACCTGGATAGCCTCTTTATTTATGATTCGTATGTCTTATCGAGAACAAAGGTTCAGCGTCGAGCTCAATTCCTGGATCATGTGTCAGCTTCGAAGGGTTTGTCGGACGCTCCTTTACTTCCAGGGTTATTATTGGCTTCTGCCATCATGTGTGTTTTCATATATTTATTTCTCCAAAACATTTTCGTATACTTCAAGACCGTTTTTTTGTTTTTTTTTCGAGCTTTCTTCGAAGTTATACCTTTCAGATATGAGGCATCTGATTGTAGTTTTTGCCTGGGTAACAGCTTCAGAGGCTTGTTCCTGCTTGCCATTCACTTCATTAAAAGATGTATTCTGCGCTTCAGACTTTGGTATGTTTGACCTGACTGAAGCTATTGACCTCCGCCGTGTTGTTGTTTAATTTGAGTTCATTTGATTTCTGACACTATTGTCCAGTATCTCATGTGAAAGTGAAGTCAGAGGATGATCTAAACAGAAATCCCGACGACTTTGAGGACATCAGTTACACCGTAGAACATATCTGCGTTTATCGAGTGAGTTTCTTATAGAGCGACGACCAGCTTGGGATGCGCCATGCTTTCACATTCCAGCCAGACTGAGTTTGCCAGTAGGCTGTTGGCTGTACAGAGTACTTGACATCTTCACAATTAAGTACGGGAACGGTGTGTTGATGGGGCGGATCCAGCCACCCGCCTTAATACAATAGTGATCGTTAAGACCGATTGCAAGGAACAAAGTTCGTGTCGCTGATGGATGTTGGTATTACGCGCAGTCATCAGGCTGTCGTGGCGTGACGTGTACATTTATATCTCTTTCATTACATCTCGCTTATCACTCCATCGCGAGCCTTGCATTTGCAAGTACACCAATGTCGCCATTTACCCACTGTGAATGCAAAACGTACCTGCGCCACTGTTTGGTTTTGCTCCACGATTTCGGCTGGAATGCAAAGGAAGCCCATACCAAGCTGGTGGATACATACGGTGAGGACGTCATCTCTTACATGACATGCAAGAATTGGTTCGCCAAATTCAAGAAAGGAGGTCCTCCACGAACCGACTTTCTCATAAATCTTGGGCATAGTTTGTTCCGCTCAACTTATTGTTGTAATTGTAAGCCGACCCCAGAGACAGTGTAAACCTCGCACAGAGTTGTGCCGTGGAATCATTTGATGTAACGTCTCTTTATACGAATGTTTCAAATGATGGCGCACTGGAGGCCACTTACGAGCTACTTAGTGAGCACGAGCGTACACTTAATCTCCTCGGTTTCACCATTTCCCAAATAATGGAGATCCTGGGAGAGTGCCTGAAGTGCTCAATCTTCAGGTGGTCGGGGCAATATTATAGGCAGTTGCGGGGACTGGCCATGGGACAGCGGCTCGCACCGATCTTGGCCTATAGCATTCATGTCCAAGATCGAGAGAAACCCGTACTGATCGGAAGACGCACTTTCTCTAGATTGCCGTTATTATATTGATGATTGCCTGATAATATGCCACACGCAAGGCGAAATCGATAAGTGTTTCGACCTTCTCAATAAACAGTCAGCCAACATCAAATTTACCAGGGAAATCCCAATAGAGAACTGGCTTCCTTTCTTAAACATTCAGATCCAGTTATCGGGAAGCATGGTTAGAACTAAGTGGTATCGTAAGCCGAGTAACAAGAACATCCTCCTCCTCATCCTCGTCGGCACACGCCGAAGACGACAAGCGAGCTGTCCTGGCTATATGTTGCAGAACTGCGAAAACCAAAGTCTGGCCTCTGATGTGGCGTTGAAAAAAGGAGTCGCTCAATATGGCCCGGAATATCGCGGTATCCAACGGATACCCGGGGTCAAGATCAGCTCGGAAAGGATATGACGAACATTGTAGAGTCATCAACGAGATATCCACCGACAAAGTGCCTTTCAATTTTCCGTTCATATCAGATGAAGTGAGCCAGGTAATCCGAGCAAGTTTGCATAAGTGCGGCTTGCAAGACGATGTTAGGTTGATAGAAATCCCCCGAACAATCTAAAACGTATCCTCGTTCGAAATCGCCTGTACGATTATTCATGCGATACGCCAGAGTGCATGGTTTGCCCATATGGTAGAGCAGGTGATTGCATGAAGTCGGGAGTGATCTATTCCATACGTTGCCTCGCATGCAGTAGTGAGTATATAGGAGAAACTGGACGGCCTCTGCGCGTACGGGTTAAAGAACACATGGATGGTCTTCGAAAATCGCAAATCCAAACTCCGCTGGGTGCCCATCGTGTTCATTCTCATGATGGTGTGGGATTCCAGGTGACTGTGTCCATCCTGGCGCAGGAGCCGGAGATCGCAGCGCGAAAAACATTGGAGGCATTGTGGATTTCGGCTAAAGACCCCAAAATGAATAGGAAAGAGGAGTGTGTGGTCATAACCCGTGAACTCGCGCCCTTCTCCGACCTTTGTGGGTTTTGATCTACATGAGGTCGAGGTTTGAGGTCGAGGGATAGAGGGGGATTCTCACTCATCGCATTACTGCAAGCCGGGTGGTCGATCTCGCGTCTCCGCGGCGGAGATCAAAGGTAAGCCGAGTCATCTTAACCGATCGATACCGTTAGGTTGTTTACCAGTTTCTCAAAAGGGTCTTCAGTTTTTGTTAAGGCGTTTGGGAGAGCAAATCACAACTGTTTCGGACTCTTTCAGGCTCTGACGAAGGCGAGGAAGCCGAAACGTTGGCCTAATAAACGTTAACAATCTTGGTCGGCTTAAATACAACAATAATTTGACAAGAAAGGAGACTTTTCTCTCGAAGATGCGTCCGAGGTCGGGTCGGCCGATGGAAGTTGGAATTGGAAGTACGCAACCGTGAAAAAGGACCCGGTACCTGGCGTCACCACCCAGGAGAAATGGCGAACGCATGCTTAGCGCTATGAAATCAATCGACGGTTGCACGTGACTGAGAAAAGGGGCTCGGCACAGGTCAGCAAAAGCATCTGGTCGATTGGTCCCACATGAACTGTGTTATGACCTCTCGAGACAGGGTGACCACCTGCACTTCTCTCCTCACTTTCCAAAAGAGGCTTCACTTTCTCAACTCGATGATCACTGGAGATGAGAAGTGGGTCCTCTACGATAACCCTGTGAGGAAGCGGCAGTGGGTCGACAAAGGAGAACAGCCAGAAGCCACCCCAAAGGCCGACCTTCACCCCAAAAAGGTTCTCCTGTCCTGTTGGTGGTCCAGAAGAGGCATGGAGTACTGGGAGCTGCTGGAGAAGGGACAGACGATTGACGCTTCCACATACGTGACCCAGCTGCGGAAATTGAAAGATCACGTCGACCGTACTCGTGGAAGGAATGGCGGAAATCTACTTCCACCATGACAACGCCTCACACTGCAAAGGCGACCCAGGATGAGCTGGAGAAGTACGGATGGCTGATGTTCGCCCACCCTCCCTAAGCCCTGACCTCGTTCCTTCTGACAACTGGCTGTTCAGCCACCTGCAGCGCTATCTGGACGGAAAAAAGTTCGAAACAAAGGATCAGGTCAGAAAGGCGCTCGACGACTTCTTCAAGTCCCAGCCTCCGTCGTTCTGGAAGGATGGAATCGACAAGCTGCCTGAGCGCTGGCGTCGAGTAGTGAATGGTGATGGTGCATACCTCTAATCTCCAGGCTGGTTCGTTTTTGAGATATTTACAAAAAAGTCGTGTATAAGACTTGAAGAAATTTTTAATTTTTGCCACCAAAAACCCCTAATTAAAAAAAAGCAAGAGACCTGATTAGGGCAGGTTCAGAACTTCTCACGCTAGCCAAAGTATCTGAAGGAAGGACAGCCCCAAGGACTCTGTTCAAGGGTCTGTTACCGTTGGGGGAAGTGATTCGGGAAGAAGAAGCTTTTTGTTCCTTGGTGCATGGAATTTTTGAAAAGTCAGGTCGTCAGGCACCTCCGATAGTGTGTAAACCCTAATTTCGAGGTGAAGGCACTGACGTAGATGTCAGCTAAATGGGTCCTGCAGTTATTGGCAGCAAGACCTAACACTTATTGTTAGTAGGGCAGTAGCTCTGTCAAGCTAAGAAAGTAGCAGCCGTTTGGGGCGATCTTGCATCCAATCCATCGATTGGGAGGACGAAAGTAGATGGGTACTGTATGTACTGGCTACTTTGTCGTGACCTTCTTCGCAGTCCCACCAAGTTCCTACCTTTTCTATAGCCAGAGTGGACGGGGATAGATCCTGTAGAACACGATGAATATCAAGTAGTTGGCTGCATCTTTTCAAATGGAAGCTGAATGCACGGCGCAGCTTTCCAGAGCTAATAAACACCAACTATTAATAATTTTTTGCATTTTGTTGACATGCGCGCGGAGAAGGTAGTTTTTCAGAAACCGTCAAAACTGAAGCAACTACCGAACGAAATCTTCACCGCGCCGAACTCGGCCGCATGTGGAATAGAACTCACCATCGTCGGGAGTACCTTATCGGAGGTATGTTAGGATTCATCCCGCAAACTGAGTTTTTTTCCTCACTGAAAAGGCAATCTCGTGACTGCAATCATAGCTAGAGCGGAGAATCCGGGAATCGTAGAGCCGACAAAACCAATACGCCATTTTAACGGCTTTATGACGCTTTTTCATTTTTACGGTTTTGCGATCTCTCAACGGGGAAAGTCAGCATTCAAAGGATTTTCAGTAGGCCGTTCGCTTGCCTGTGAATGGTGAATTCAAGAGGAGCTGGAATTGGCGCGGTGCCAGCTCATTTTTTT